AATCCAAGATTAGATTGAAAATGTTTGCGGGTCTGTCACTGTAGTACATAATACCAATAGTCATAGTCACATTGAAAGTAATATAATCCTATAAATACAATGAACATATTTTAATAAGAAACTCATAACATAAGAAATTTTGTGTACATCACAAATCAAGTTGATGGTAAAATCTGCATATATATTTGTACCTTCTTCTGATATTATCAGCTATCTAGGGGAGACAACTCTTCATTGACTCATTTGACTTTCATAACAACAGTGATCTCCCCTTGTAATCACCTATTTGTGCCTTCATGTTTTCCATGCTGTTTATCTGAACAGCCTTGGAGATATAGTCTGTGTATGATGAATTATGGCTGTTCTACAGACTTTTTTAGTTTCACAAGGTAAATGTTCAGGCATGGGTGGTGATTAATTTTAATGCAAGAATTGATTCTTTAAGTTGTTGATGTAGTTTGTCATAGAATGAAGCCAGCAAAAATTAATCAAATTTTTTCTGTATTGCCTTCCTGGTTAAAACCATTTTCAGCAATGAACACTGATTTTAAAACAAGTATCATGTAGTCATTATTTTGTTATGCAAATGATTATGCAGATATCAGTTTGAACATTTGATGATCAATACATGTTTGATTTATTAAGATGTTTGAAATTGTTATTGTTGTGTTTGTTATTTCAGAATTATATTTATCTTATGTATGTGGTCATTTTCTATTAAAGTGATTATGCGACATGTCAGATGAGTACGTGACATGTAACTTTGCTACTTTTCTTAATCTGTCTTGACAACATTCCTGTAGAAACCTTAATGTATCCCTTTAATTTTCAGGGATTTCTAATAAACTCTTGAAAACAAGGTTGTGTTCAGTTGTTTTGACTTATCGTGAAATGGTGGATGAATCTTCCATTGAGTATTTAAAACTGACCATTTGTAGCGCTATCTTCTTTAACATGATGATTCTTGCTATATGTGATCACAGATATTTTGAAGCAGGATACATTTGGTGCGGAACTGAGGAAGTGTGTTTAGCTTGCTATACTCAGGAACTGGTCAAGCTCGTCGTTTGTGTTGGTTTATTTGCTGCTATACATGTACACATATACATGTACTGGCTCTTGAGAGCTTATCTATTTTTTAAAAATGTAACGTTACTATAGAAGTTTATGGCAAAACATTCGTTTTTGTGTAACCTTCAAGACGTTGCAGCTCACTGTGCAGAGTTGTGTCCCTTAGCAGGCAGTGTCCTCCTGGGTTGACATCAGTGACTTTAGTTTTACGCCGCACTCAGCAATATTCCAGCTATATTGCGGCGGTCTGTAAATAATCGAGTCTGGACCAGACAATCCAGTGATCAACAGCATGAGCATTGATCTGCGCAATTGGGAACCGATGACAGGGTTGACATGAACCATGCTTATGATCCTTGGTATGTCCACACCATATCCTTTGTTTCATCGTAGCATCTCTAGCATTCATTTTGAACTTCCTTCCACCAAGCTGACTTGTGATGAACTCAATTAGGATTTGATATTGCCTCCATGGCCTAGAATAAAGAGCATATGCCTGGAGAGTAAGGCTGTAACTATTCACTCGCATATTCGGTGAATCGAACCGTAACCCTTCATGAATTCAATTCGTTATTGGTGGTCACCAGAACCGAATATTAACGAATATTTACGATTTTTTTAAGGGAGCATGTTTTACTTGAACCCGTATGTCCTTTTCCAAAGTGAGATATGCAAGAATGGAACATGTACTAGCATTGCAGTAGTGCAAGTTATGCTAGTTTGCCAAGATCTCACATGGTACGGTCGATTATAACTATTACATACGAACATTTGAGTGTCATGAGATCACTGGTTATTGCTGTGACAAATTAACACTGTCAGCATAGGCGTTCCATATTGTACATCAATCACTTAACTACAATATTGTATTCGTGAATAATTATTCATATTCGTTACCCAATATTCATGATACGTATCATATTCACCACATTGTGCATTCGTTGCAGCCCTATCTCCAGCAGCAAGTTTCTGGATGCATGTCATACCTGAAGACATTTAAAGATGGTACTTGTTGTTGCCCTGCCTCTCACTTGATATCAAAGGAATACAGCCAGGACTAGTCTGCTCAGTCAGTGTTCTCTTAGTGGTTGTCAATGTTACACTGCAGCATGGTATCTCAGTGGGCTATCACTGTAATATTTGTCAGAGCCATTGCAAGAACCCCTACACACACTCAAGCACACATCTTGTAGGGCTGCGCAATATAACCAGTTTACCGGTATATACCAGTTCAGGCATGAGAACAATAGGTATTGCGATACGCTGATCAAAAAACGGTATTTTGACATGCATTCGGAAAACCTTCATAACACTTGAAAATCTTTGGATATTTCCGTTTTTTTAATTTGTTCCTTTCCTTGTTTCATTTGTTCCAAACATTATTTGCATTTTTATTTGTCATGATTTAAAGTTTTTATTAAAGCCTAATCAAGCATAGTGATTCTGTTGTGTTTTTGCTTTGTAAATCAAGCATTAACTCGATTATAAGTAGTTTTTAAAAAAAGAATTCTTGCATATATTGCAATACATATCGCTATATATGTTTTCGCATTGCAATATATCGCAACATAAATTTTTTTGGCAATACCCACCCCTAACATCTTGCATGAAACATGAAACCTCATTTTATTTCAGCTCACATCTCTAGATTTGACCAGTTCATGATGTCCTTGTTGTCAAATCCGGCAACAAGTGATTACCCTCATTGTATGGACCAAAAGTTAATGTCTCGGTAAACACTGCACAAAATACAAATTGAATCTGGTTATAATTGGTCCTCAGGAACCATGCCATTTGTAACATGCTACTAGTGAGTGAGGGAGTTTTGTTTTACCCTGCTTTTAGCAACATCACGGTGGGGGGACTCCATAAAATAAGCTTCAGACACTGTACCCATGTGGGGAATTGAACCCGGGTCTTTGGCATGAACACTTTAACCACTAGGCTACCCCACTGCCCCATAACATGCCACTCGGGCGGTGAGGCCAAGTGACATGGTTGATGGTGTGTTATCCTACTCTGATGGCTTGGGTAGTAGCTCACTACATCAATCACTGGATTGTCAGGTCCAGATTAGAACACTAACATGCCACCTTCATGTCCCTGCAAAATTAATGAGTGTGGAGTTTAAAAAAATAATTAATAATGTGATGGACAATTTACAAGTCATAGTTTTGGTGTCATTTGTGGATTGGGACCTGTGAAGATCCGTTTAGAACTGGTCATTGGCAACCAATGCTTGTCGTAAGAGGCGACTAACGGGATCGGGTGGTCAAGCTTGGTGACTTGGTTGACACATGTATTCATATCCCAATTGTGTAGATTGATGCTCATGCTGTTGATCACTTGATTGTCTGGTCCAGACTTGATTATTTACAGACCGCCGCCATACAGCTGGAATATTGCTGAGTGCAGCGTAAAACTAAACTCACTCACTCACTCAGTTGTTAATTGGCTAAGATGGATGGATGCCTCAAACCAGAATTAACAATTTCATTGGTAACAGGTTTATTGAACAAGAAATATAATCTGTAACAAGCAGTCAGACATTTTTCACCAGAGATGATCTGCTTGATATCAAGGTAAACCTTTCAACAATAAATATCAACAAGGAACATTATTTCACAATTTCAAAAGATGGCAGATATTAACAATATATCATGTGAACTTGACAAAATTATCCAACATGTTGAAATGATGTTATCAGAAAGAATCAATTTATTTTCATGCTGAACTCATTCATGTGGATGCTGTTCACGCTGTATTGAAATACACTCATGCACTGGGATCAATTTCAATCGAGTCTTTGCTTGATGTGTGATTTGCTCATAATGTTGCGGAGTCAGCAATCTGATCAAACAGCCTGCAGTTAATACAGAATGCCTTCAGATAGAATCAAAGGTTTTCATGCTCAACTACTTAATGTTGTGAATGCAGTTCACACTGCAATGCAGCTGGGTCTATTGAAATGTACGAGGATCATCTTCACGTGACTTTATCTGTACAGGGAAAGGCCAGTAATGTTGCGTCAGCAACCTGACAAGCAGTCTGGCTGTTAATACAGGAGCACAATGAAGGACTTCGGTAACTGTGGATCAAAGGCCAGCAAGAGCAGACTCAAAGATTTTGTTTGACCCCTTCAGTATACTAGGATGTAGAGAGTTTCGGTTTCGTACCTCATAAAATAAAGCTTAAATCAGGAATTTATTACACAACAGCTAGTCTTATTGATGCAATGCATATCCAGTTTGACAAACTTGGTATCAAGATCCAATATATAAATAAATAGGAAGACCACACACAGACAAATTATTCAAGTCCCACGAACCAGTGTTTTCCATTTTGTTTTACCAATGTCTTATGGAGTCTGTTTTTCAACATCTGTGCCTGGGACTGAGCACATCCTCTTGATCCATCTTCGGCTTTGGTTTAGCTATCTCCTCCTTACTTTTCTTAAATGTAGTCGTCTGCATACACCACAGGTTGAATACACTGATCTGAGAGGCTTCAGATCAGCAGGAGTCATTCACCTCAAACGGGCAAATCCAGAAAAAAAGGATTTGTCCCTCTCCTTTTTAAAATGATCTATGCACTTGCCTGAGAATTTTCTGTTATATATAATGTGCATAGATTATTGGGAATGTTGGACATGTCATCACCTTTCACATCCATGAACATCGGTAGTTAGTATTTAAGGCCAGACCAGTTTTATTTCTTGTTTTACGGATGTGCCGGTATTTTGTATTGTTTTCAAGAACAAAAATAAAAAAACCTAAAATTAATTTCCCGCCCCCCCCCTCAAAAAATAAAATCCTAATGTTTGTATTGGCCAAAAATGTAAACTTACAAGAACATTTCTTTTAGATTGTTTTTTTTACCCATATACACTTCATAAACTGCCAAAAGTAAAATACTTTTAGTATTTAGAAGGAATATTACTTTTTTGTTCCCTCCTGCCTTTAGATTTTCAGAGGACAAAATTCCATAAAACAAGAAATAAAATTGGTCTGGCCTAATTAAGGCTTTACAGATCTGCTGATCCAATGCTAAGTGTGATAGACAACATGTCTTGTGTTTGTTTCCGACATTGTGTCTGCTTCAGCCATGCTGATCTCCGTCAGTTGTATCGTTGGGTCCACCACGACATCTGATTCCTCTGGCATACACTCTTCCTCCACCATGACAACACTCTCTTCTTCCACTCCCATTTCCTCGTGCTCGGTGTTGATATGATGTTTTGCATCCTCATACCTTGTAAACCCAACCTCACACACGCTACACAGATAGATCTCCGTCTGCTGCTCCTGGCTGTTACAGTCCAACTGAGGGTCAAGGTCAATGCCAGAGTTGTTCATCACAACATACGAATTCATCACTGCCATGTGAACTTCTGATTCCGACACTGCAATGACATTGGGATTGGGCTCAAATGAAACTTGTGAAGTCAACGGCCGTTTCTTCACAACTGTTCCTCGACATTTTTGTTGATGGATCCTTAACGACGCAGATGAGCAGTACGCCTGATTGCATCTATCGCACATGTGTTTGCTGGTTCCCGTGTGGCCAATCATATGCTGCTGCAACTTTGACGCCAGCTTAAAACCTTTGTTGCATTCTTTACACTTGAAAGGCCGGTCTGTGGAATGGGCAAAGATCCTATGCTGGGCAAGCTGGCTACGGAACCCGAAGGATTTATCACAATGGGTGCACTTATAAGGCCTTTCCCCAGTGTGTTTGTTTAAATGATCATTGAAATTGCTTTTGCTTGTGTAACGATTGCCACAAAATGGGCATACAAATCTGTACTCCCTCTCACTAGGCTCCATGTGAATCTGCTCATGAGCCTTGAGGGTGCATTTCTCATAAAATGCTTTCCCACATATGTTGCACTTAAATTTCTTGGTTCCAAAATGACGTTTCCGGTGACCAATGACGTATCGTTTATGTTTGAACACTTTTCCACAAATATCACACTTGGCAGTGTGTGACTTCTTATGGTGAAGCTGAATGTGGAACTGAAGGTTAGGGGTCGAGTTGAAGGTCATATTACAGTCTTTACACTCATGGACACCTAACTTGTGCTGCAAGCGGTGTTTTCTGATTTCATGCACAGTCTTAGCTTGGAAGTAACAAGTTTTACACTCCAAACTGGCTGTTTTTTTGTCCTTTTTGAACTTCATTTTGTGGATGTACACTTGGTGTTGAATTAATGACGTCTTAGATTTACACACCATCCCACATTCAGAGCATCTGTTGGAAATTAACCCTTCTTCAAATGGCCCATGGTGATTGTTCAGATGAGCCTCAAGATGGGAGTCGCTGTCAAAGACTCCTTCACAGATGTCTCAACGTAATGGACTGGTTACATCATGTTCCGATATCAGATGAGAAGACAGTGCCTGGAAGTCATCTTCAACAACTGAACAAAGAGGACACTTGGTTGAAGGCTTTTCAAACTGAGAACTTGCCTTTTGCTTAGGGCCATGTTTCATGGACAGGTGTATGTCCATTGATTTGTGCTGGCTGAACACTCTCTCACAGACATCACATCGGAGACGCTCAACATCATGCTCGGAAATTAAGTGGTCCGAGACTTCCGCAAAGTCCTCAGATGTGAAAATACAATGTGGACATGTGTGGTGCTTGCTCTCGGAATCATCCAGCCTCCACTTATTGCAATACTTCCTATGAGCTGACTTGGACTCCTCATCCAGACATATGACCATGCAGTTATCACAGTGAAGACTGTCATCTGTCTCATGCTCTTCGGAACAATGGCTGACAACATTGAGGAAGGAATCGGACTGAAACTGACACACAGGACAGTCAAATCGTTTCAAGTCCTTACTCTTCTCCCTAATGGCTCCAGGCTCTGTATTACACGGGTTCTTCTTCACACTGCTTCCAATGAGCTGCCTGGACATGCTCTGGGATTGCATGTTGAAGGTGACCACTGGCACGACTGCCATGTTGCTGTACACTAGTCTATAAGAAGCTCGACTTGAAGTCACTTCCTCGTCATCAGAATTTTCAAAGGCAGATTCCATTTCATCAGATACTTCCATCTCTGTCTGTGTCCAGGACTGTAAAGAACAGACTGAAGGGGAGGTGTTATGTTTGAGCCTAGCCTGAAGAATATCCTCGCTTTCTTCCTCTCTGTCTCCTGTCTCTTGTTCAAGCCTTGGCTGCTGAATACCCTCTCTCAGATCTTTCTCCTTTCTGTTCTCTTTCTCCTGGACCCTAGATTTTGAGGAAGAAACGGTAGACGAGGTCTCTGATGAACACATGGAAAGAGAAGTCTCATATTCCACTCTAGACTGATTCAGATCTTGTTTTCTGTCTCTCCCCTTTATTCTTGACTTTGATGAACTCACGTGGGAGTCTTGCTCTTCATCCACTATTTCTTGAGGTTCTGGAATTCCTTTCTTTTTCATCATCGGTGTCTGGGAACAAGGACTGCCTGATGGTGGAATCTTTTCGTGTAACAGCTTTTTTTCAGGCTTTGCCTGCACCTCCTTCCTTTTCTTTCCTGTTGCCAGGAAGGAGAAATCTACTTTATTTCCTCGGGTAGAATATCTTTTTACAGTTGGTTGGCTGACATTATCCTGTTTCTGGGCAGTCTTGCCTGAACTTCCTCTGGGTCGTCCCCTCGGTCTTCCACTAGATTTCCCAGATTTCTCCTCAGTACTCAAAGGTTTCAGATTTGATCCAGGACATATTTGTATGTCTGAGCCTGGTTTGTTGAGATCTTCAGCAGAAGGGGGAGAAGATTTTTTTCTCATTTTTCGCCTGTTTTGTCGAGCAGAAGAGGAGAGTTTTCTCTTACTTTTTCTGGTCACTGATTCTGGAGGAGAAACATCCACATTTCCTCTCTTCCTTGTCCTCCGAGTTTCAAAAACATCCTGACTGCTAACTGATGACGTTGCCTTCATCATCGGAAAATCCACTTGTGCTGTCTGATCATCTTCTTCTCTAGCCAACTGACTCTCTTCTTTCTTCTTCACAATCTCAACAGCTGAAGACAACATTTCCAAAGCATTAATCAGCATCTCCTTACTGGGTGTCTCTTGCTTCACCATGACTTGTTCCCCTAAGCTACTTGAAATATTATCTTCAATGTTAGCCTGAGTGTTCCTCTGTGATGATCTGTTATGGTGATTTGTAGCAAAGCTTGAGATGGTTCGAGTGACACTTGTAGGAGCAGCTGATGTATGTTCTGCAGGAAGACTGGAGGCCGGCCACACATCATCAGTGTATTGTAGCTCGTTAGATCTGGTGTCCTGGATACCATTGGACATTAGATGGGCTCCTTGTTTACTTGCTGTGTCACTTGGGGGTGAGACTGTATCAGAAATGCATCGAGGTGTTTCCGGAATGTTGGCAGACGCATCTGAAAAAGAAAAGGATTTAATTTGTTTTAGATCAGCCTATGAAACAGCTAACTCCATGGTATTAGATCCATCCATTTCCACACACGCACACACGTCTGCACGCACACACACACATATGTATAAGCCAGAATATTAGGACTTGTTTTCCCCACATACAACCCATATAAAACTGTAACATCTTAACATTATCAAATCACAAGGCTGTAATGTTAAACCATATATATATATTTATGACATTTAAATCAAATAATTTCATGTAGATGTCTGCTTCTTCAGGAAAAAGGAATTCGGATGACAATTCACGCATCACACCAAAGGCTTGGGTTCATTTTCAAACATTGTTAATTCATGGATTCTAATCATGACAAGCATTGTTTCTTGGGTACCAGTTCTAAACTGCAATCCCCACAGAGCAGACGTCCATATTCAGCAGAGCCTGGTATGACAAGGGACACAACTCTGCACAGAAAACTTCAGTGGCTTAAATCACTGTGCCACCTATACCCCTCTTACCATTAGCATTGCTGGGTGTAAGGCTCTCTTGGTGAGACTTCTGCAGAGACATTGGGAGACTCTGTAAAAAACATCACACAGCATTCATCAAATTTCTAAATGATGGCAATTCTTATTATCATTATCTTATTATTTTCATTTCAGGGTGTAACTTACCTAATTTCATTACATTTTGAGAAAACATTTCTGGCGTCTAATGCCCCAAATCAGATATTACAGTTATTCTGCATTTACCATGTGTTGATTAATTTGTGTACAAGTCATCACATACTTATGATCAAGTCTGATTCTAGACTAATCTGTGTACAAGTCATCACGGACATATGATCCCATCTGATTTTAGACTAGTCTGTGTACTACAAGTCATCACAGACATATGATCACAGACTGATCAACACAAATTGTGTTCAAACCTGTCTCAACATCTGCTTGGCTCTGACGATGCTGTCTACTTCTCCGCTGATGGAGTAGACAGGGTTACTGTTGACACCTGGAGATGACAGCCATTCAACGCCAGTCTCCACAGTAACCGCCCTCAGCAAGTCCTCCACAGGCCCGTCATAGGCCAGGGAGGAGATAAACTCTGGTGATAAGATGGCCAGCACTGTGTTGAAGACCTGAAAAATATAACCAGTGGGACAGTGAGTGAGTGAATGAGGTTTTGTGCTGCTTTAGGCAATATTCCCACTTATCATCGTGGTGATCTGGGCCTAGATTTTCGAAGCTCTCTTAGCGCGCTAAGATAGTCGTAAGTGTGGAAGCCACCGTGGCTGAGCGGTCTAGGCATCTGACTTTGTGTGCTGGCGATTAGGTGCCTGATTCTGAGGGTGTGGGTTCGAATTCCGGATGGGGCTCAACGTAAAAAGTACTAAAATCTGTTCTTTACTAAGAAGGTGTAATCCCAAATAAAACATATGTTACGTAAGTGCCATACATTAACATTAAGTTACGACTCTCTTAGCTCTAAGAGAGCTTCGAAAATCTAGGCCCTGGACCACACATGAATGTGGGGTATGCCTTGGTTACAAGGTATTTTAGAGAGGGGCTGTGCTCGATTGTCTTGTGTCTATTGTCATTCTAGGTCTCGTAAGCAATAATCTTGAATGCTGTGTGAACTCCCTCAACACCTCATCAAACATCATCTGGAACAATGGAAGCATACCTCCATGGCTTTCTTCTGAACATCATTTCTCCTCTGCTCACTCATTTCCATGGAAACATCCTCATTCCCAGCATCCCCTATTACAGCTATCTCTTCTGCTGAATTTGAAACAGTTTTCTCCAGTACAGAGTTATCTTCCCCTTCCCCATAATCAGTTTCACAAGGAACTTCCAGATCTTGGTGAGGTTCTTCGGTATCTTCCTCCTCAGCTCCGTGGATGTCAGTCTCAGTAGATTCTGAAATAACACATGATGTAATAAGACATCCTTGCTTAGCCATGGTGTTTTATCTCCACTATATACATATACTTATAATCACCTTGGGTCCATGTGCCATAAAACGATGTTTGAGTGAGTGAATTTAGTTTTACACCGCTTTTAGCAATATTCCAGCAATATCATGGCGGGGGACACCAGAAATGGACTTTACACATTGTTCCACATGTGGGGACTCGAACCCAGGTCTTAGACGTGACATGTGAACACTTTAACCACTAGACTACCCCACGGTCCTGCTACATATAATGTTTGTGATATGGAACCACAGTCACCTAATAATATCTGTTCCCTTCTTACATCTGAAACATACCTGTCTTGATGCTTGGATCCAGACATTCCCGGAGGTGGTTAATGAACTGCATCTTCCTTCTGCGTGACTGCCCACAGACTGGACAGTGGTAGTGATACACAGAGAAACCGTACCGAGGGAGACAAGGCTGATAGCACACCAGGTAGCTGTAAGCTGCAGCAAAAAGTGTGACCTGATACAGGTGACCTTGATCTCCAGATGACCTTGACCTCCAGACGCATGCAAAAAGTGATGTGGATATCAGAACCCCTCCTAGAGATGATTTATATTGATTATTTGTCCCACTCCAATACAGAACGCTCAATCTTTGATGCCTCATTCTTACACTGACCTTGACCTTCAATGCACCACATGTTATATGAGAAACTTCCCCTGTCGTCTGGGGTAATTAAACAGATATGCCTCTGTGGCAGGGGTCGGTGGTATACTTTGTGCAAGAGCATCAAGTAGTCCCCCTTTGCTTGGAGTTTATGAATGTAGTTCTTCAGGGGTGTTATCATTGAGAGCGAGTGAATAATCTCCATGTTAACTTGGTCATAGCAGCCTGTCAGTAACTGAATCTGGGCCTGGCGGATCAGTGATTTACAGTACAAGCTACAATTCCTGTCATTGGTGATATATACATATACATTTTCAGTTGGTTTGTGAAAATGATGACAAAAATATAAATAAAATTAGAAATAGAAAATGACTTCAAATGATTACTTGACATGAATAAAAATAGATACCACAAGAAACCACCTCTGTTCGAAGAAATGTTAAATAATAGATATATGTATATATGAAAATGTAGATAAAAATAAATACAATCAAATACATTTAGGTATCTTTCCTTAACAAAAAGCAGTATTACCCAGGAACTGACCACCTTTCACTTAATTTTATGCCAAAAATATTGTAAACCAATCAAAGAAAATACTCAAGGCTTTACACAAACAAGCACCTGATCCTTGTTTTAATCAACTCTTCTTGGGGATGTATTCTGACCAAAAATCCCACAGTATCAAATGCTCATACTATAAAATGCTACTGAGAGAAAATAACTGCGCATGGAATTTCTTAATCCTGGTCAATCAATCATTTTCAGTTCAAATTGTATTTAAAAACTCTATTTTCAAGGCTTTTCAAACTAAAAACCATGATTCAATGACACCGAATTGTTTTCAAATCTGTGACCCCTCAAACAGACATTAGTTATATATATTTCTCACATCCACAAACTGCACGGCTGTTCCAGTGACTGAGGTAGTGTTCTTGGAGATGGCTGACGAACGCTGGCTTGAATTTTGTTGAAGGACAAAGAGCACAGTGAAAACGATGTCGACAGCAGCCTTGGTCTTGGCATCTCTCAAAGGGGAGGTCACCCAAGTTTCTCACTACTGACACGTGACACTGAAACACGGGAAATGTAAACTCAGAAAGGATTTAACTTTGAGGTGAGGTGAAATTGGGTTTAACGTCGTGCTTGAGAATATTTCGCTCGTATGATGATGTGCATGCGCGTGTGTATGTGTATGTGTGGCTGCTTGTACTAGCCCACACTGAAGCTGGTTTTATAGTGCTAGCCCACTGAGATACCATGCCACAGTTAAGCATGAATACCCCACTCAGACACAGTATACTCCGAGCTGACTAGTCCTGGTTATACCCATTAATGCCAAGCGCCAGACAGGGACCAACAAGTACCATATTTTAACGTCTTTTGGTATGACGCGGTCGGGGATCGAACCCGCGACCTTCCGCTCTCCGGGCGGACGCTCTTACCACTACACTATGGAGGCGGTCGATTTAACTTTGAAATCACACAACATGACACTGAACCATTTCAACTATGATGTCAATATTCTGTAACACACAATTGAGCTCCTTATTCTGATGGAGTGAGTGAGTTTAGTTTGAACTGCATCCACAACTTTAATTACTTTAGCATGAGTAGAATTGAAGGCATCATTTCAACATGTTGTCAAGTTCACATGATTAAATGTTAAATATCTGCCATCTTTTGACATTGTGACAAGCATGGGTTGTTGCTGGTCTTTTAAGTTTCTTTTCGAGATTCAAAAAACCAGAAATGCTGGTCTGAATATCATACTTGAGTAGTCTCCATGCTTTTTTGTGCTTTAGAAAGTTTACATGAGGGATCTTCACACAGAGAGGTATCATATCAGAGCCAAGAGTATGATAATGAAACGTTCATAATAAAGAAGTGGACATCCATAAAAATTCTCTTCCTTTTTTTTGTATCACTTCTAAATGCCATTCAAAGACCGGAAACTTCACTTTGCTCAGACGTACCTTACTCCCAAATCTCTCCATGGGAGGAGGAACAGTAGTGTTAAAAGCCATATTGGCCGTCCACAATTCATCCACATTCTTCCTTTCTGGCAAGTCCACAGTTGTGTTCTCTTTCAAGCTGCTGATCTCCCAGCATCTCCACAAGTGACTTGACAAGGACCCCATCTCTTCAAACTTCTTCTCCTCACACAAAGGACAGTGGTAATGTTTGCCAAGGGTTCCTTCACACTGATTGGAGCAGAGCTGGATCACATGACCTGCATCATACATATTAATGAGTGAGTGAGTGAGTGAGTGGGATTTTATGCTGTTTTAAATACCACTTATATGACTGTATGATCTTAATGGGGGAGAATAGCCCAAAGTGATTGTTATTCTTCACGTTCCTCAGTAGTAAACTACCGAAACAATTTACAAAACACCTGATTCCTTACTATGAAAGATCTACAATAGTAATCGGGATTTTACATAGCGCGTGATTCCTGTGCATTTGATGCAACAATTTTGTAAACGACACTCAAAATATTATCATACAAGTCAAGCTTGACGCAAGTTTTATGGGTGGCCCTTACAATTCAGTTTAATAAAATCGATTTGATAAACAAAAAAAGATATTGTTCGATGATAGTTTGAGTTTTACAGAGCTGTCAGATTGTTCCAGAGAACTCAGAGGAGACAGTAATCCTGGCTGTGTGAATTGAACAATGCCATAGTTTCACTTGGTGGTGTGACATACATTTACATACTGAGAATGATTAACATAAAGATTTCATGACTCCCAAGTATTGAAAATGACTCCCAAAAATAAATACATGATGTATTGTGAGTCACCATTGACTCCCACTTTTAAACGTCTGTGTAAAACCCTGAGTAATATGAAAGAATCAGGTGTTTGACCTTACAGTAATACATACAGAATAAGTGATTCAGGACACCTACTTCCCTGAACTCCTCCCATTGTGTGTCCATTGTGTTTTACTCACCATCAAACAGAACCTTCTGAGGATGTTTGAAGTTGGGGGCCTGGACCAAGGACTCTGGCTTACCCTACAACACAGGAAGAAAACGACATGAAAATGACAGCCTGTCTTACACCAGTGTTGATGTTTTGTCTCAAATAGTTAAACTTCAAATGTTGTTTGGGTGTCTTATGATTGGAATGTCAGTCTGTGATGAAATGTTTTGAATTTTGAGTCCACTAGACTGAACTTTGGTTTTTAGCTTCAGTTTTAGTACTCGTCAATGCAAGGTATATGGCATTTTATTAGCTGATCTAACTTGACCAACAGAATTTTATTCGGCTTTGGGCTTGGACAAGAATGAGTGAGTCAATTTAGTCAATGGCCCTATAAAACCAGCTTAAGTCTGGGCTAGAACAAGCAGCCGCACATACACATACACACGCAAGCACGTCATCATATGAGAGAAATATTCTCAAGCACGACGTTAAACCAAATTTCACCTCACCTCACCTCACAGTATTATAGAGTACATGTGAGTGACTGAGTTAGAATGTATAGTCACATCGGCAATATTTCAGCCATATTGTGACTTAAAAAGTTATAAATTAACAATAAACACAATTACATTATAAAACACTTGTCGACGAAGGACAGTAAAACAACTAGATTATCACAGGAATAAATTTAAGACTAGTAATTAAATCTAAAATATATTACGTATAAATGACAATACAATATAAAAAACGGCTTTAGATTGCCAACAACTGAAGGTAGATCACCATACTAGGGACCATGGGGACTTACAGTACGTTTGCTTCCTGCATGGGCCCTAGCTGGATTTACATCATTCCTTCAGCTGTCAGCAATTAAGATACATCTAGCCATACATTAAAATTACACATATTCTATGATTAAAACAAAGGAAAGTTTAAATTTACCTTGAATGTTTTGGGACTTACGTATATAGAGTACATGTACAGGCGATGCCTGTATTCAGTAAGTACATAAGGATGATTAAAGGAACACAGATCACGAGTTGAATATTGGAATTTCTTCCACTGTTATTTTAAGGCAGATTTTGTTGTATTTATGCAGATTTATAGGTTAACTGTGGAACCGAGATATAAAACAAGAAGACAAAGTCATCAATATCCCCCCTCAATGGCAAAATACTCTTCATGATTATGTCTACGAGTTATGATTATGTCAAATATTTAGGTGTGTGGAAGGAGAGTATTGAAAGGTTTTTAAAGTTCTGCTCCAGAAAGGAGCACTATCACCAATTTCAGTCTATGTCAAACTTGTTGCCTTGGAAATGCCAAAAATATTTTATTCAGAATTCCAAAACTACCAAAAGGCACCAGTACACCACCAAATCTATCTACGGTTTTAGAGTTCTGCTCTGGAAAAGACAAATGTGCACGGACGAACGGACGGACGGACGCACCCACGCACGGACGGAGTCCATTTTAATACCCCCCCGCAAAACACGTTGCGGGGGATGATAGCATGTGTTACTTTCATGCACAAGTGTTGGCATGACAACTGATTTCAATGTGCATCTGAACCATACTTTCATTGATTCATATTGAATAGAACATGATGTTATGATCTCATTGTGATCCTCTTTGGCTGTACCAGAATACACCCCCACACCTACATATCTAGTTCCCTGGCTGCAACCTATGACGACCGCCTTCCGCAGGTGATTGCGCAGGTGGTAGAGGAAGCCAGCCTTCTTGAGGAGTTGTTTGGGGCAGTGGGGACAGTGGAAGTGCCCGGGGGCGGCATCGCACTGCATGTAGCATTTGACCAGGTTTCTACCTGCAAACACAAAAAAACAAAAACAAGCTCACGACACAATTTGATTATCAGTATCTTGTCTCTTGCAACACTCATCAGTACTCTTGTTGTATGATGATAGCCTGAACATGATTGAGTATGGACCATACAATCCAGTGATTACTGCAAGAGCAAAGTGTTACATCATCTGGATATGATGACAAGCAATCTATGCTGTGACAGAGCCTGACCATTCAATCAGTTTTATCATTTAGTTAATAACACACATTCAATTACATGTGTTACAGACATTTAATTAAGCAAGTTTTCATTGTTTAATTTTCATACTTGTGATTGGAATTCATCACTACTGCTGAAGTCATTATATATTTGTACATTGGTTGAAATCTTATGGAGGAAAGTACTGTGCTGACACCAAACCAGAATGAATCATGATGCAGCCATAAAATGGTGTCCAATCACCAGCAATCAGATAACCAGATTTAATGTAAAGTGGGAACAAACCTCTATACAGCACAGCATGCTTGAAGTGAGTCTGGTTGAGGTGATCCCTGACCCTGGCCGGACGTGAGGGCTTGAAATTTTGGACCCTACAGAAGGGACAGTGGACCCTTGAACAGCCACAGCTTTGGTTCTCACAGCGACAACTCAAGCTGCGACCCGAACTTCACATACGTCACATGGTTAGTGAATGTCTGGAAACAAGAAAACAATTTGTTTTGTTTGAAATCAGTCGTAATTTATTGGTGAGTGAGTTTAGTTTTATGCCACACTCAGCAATATTCCAGCTATATGGCAGCGGTCTGTAAATAATTGAGTCTGGACCAGACAATCCAGTGATAAACAGCATGAGCATCGATCTGCGCAATCGGGAACCGATGACATGTGTCAACCAAGTCAGCCAGCCTGACCACCTGATCCTGTTAGTCGCCTCATACGACAAGCATGGGTTACTGAAGATCAATATTCTAACCTGGACCTTCACGGGTTCGTAATTTATGGAAAAATATCTTCTGGAATAAATCAGATAACTAGTGGTTAAACTTAAAGCGTTTGCTCGTCATGCCGAAGACCCGGATTCAATTCCCTACATGGGTACAATGTGTGAAGCCCATTTCTGGTGACCCCCTCCGTGATATTGCTGGAATATTGCTATAAGCGTCGTTCAACCAAAGCCACTCACTCACTCACTGTTAAGGGGTATTCTTAGTGCCATGGTGTTTCCTAAAATGGTATCACATGCTGCTGCTCTTTGACTGAGTATCAATTAATAGGGCAATACTCGTCAACATACCATATGTATTGTGAAACTCAAATTGAGATTTGTCTGGGTGAAATCGTGCATGCTGTGCAGGTCCAGCTGAACAAGAAACTGTTGCTGTCAACCAGTCTGTGTTTACATCACTATTATCCAACCACAACATTCTCAACAAAAAAACATACAAGGTTTTTGTCTTCAAATGTTACTGACCGACAAACAGTTCTTGCCAGTGATTTTTTTTTCTTTTATTACAACTGAACATGACAAACCAACTTATTTAATATTGTAAATTTTGTCAATGTGTACAGAGTTATTATACACCGACAACTAGGGCTGGGACGGGTAACCCGGGTACCCGGGACAGGTGGGTAATGAGTTGGACCCGGGTACCCATCTCAATACCTGGACCCGTTATGATCATGTGACTAATAGATTAAACAATGTAAATATGTTATTCTTTCATGATTAAAAGGCTGTATTGTCTTTGAAGACTTACACATAATTACAGTCACTTCTTTTGAATATAATACATGGTTAAGATATTGAAAAACTGAGCTGAAGAACATATCAACATAATGGGTATCCGGGTAGGGTAGGGTAATTGGGGTGGGGTACCCGTGTAGAAAATATGGACCCATCCCAGCCCTACCAACAACTTTGATAGTATTTTACTGTGCTATTTGTGTGCAAAAGAAGTACTTTTGTCAAATCCTGATACTTTCATGGGTTCTTATTCAAGTTATTGACTACAATAACAAATATTCATTGGTTTTGATATAACAATATCATGACTTTCTCTGATGTAATGTTTTTGACAAATCTGAAAAACATAGTTCATTACAAATATTGCATGTTCTAAGTCTGAAGCCGGTGCTGGACATCTACATGCAAAGGCTAGGGTCTTAAAAAAGAAAGGTTGAAATTCCGCTGTTCAAAGGATATTACGATATAAAAACAGTTTTTACACGTGTTTGTCCATAACAATACATAGCAAGTCATCTTAGGACAGGTAAAAAGAACTTCCCATAGAGTAGCACAATATTGTCAATAGCCTGAGCGTATATAATCACATTTGGGAGTTTTTCCCCTCAAACACAGGCGTAACAAGGCCAACAGAAGTCGGTGTGTAATGTTAGCCTAATCACCCTTGAGGGCGTCTTACAAAAATGGGAAGTTAAAACATAATCAAATCTACCAGTGATTCAACTTCTGTGGGGTGATTTGTAGGTATGCTGTTCTTTCTTGGCATTATTTCTCGGAAATGTGTCACAATGCGAGTTAGGTCACATGCATTTCCAGCCGATGTTCGTCTGTCGAAAAATGGCGGATCACAGCGCCATCTTCACGGGTTTACAAGGGCAGATAACTACCATTGAATAAATGCGAAATTCGTCATTTTAGGTCCGATTCATCGAGTCGGTTGTAAAAGAATTAATAAAACATATTTCTTCGCTTTCATTTGCCTTTGTGTTGGTTTTACCGCACAGCAATACTGACTGACTGACTGAGTTTGGTGTTACGCCGCTTTTAGCAATATTCCAGCAATATCACGGCGGGGGACACCAGAAATGGGCCTCACTCATTGTACCCATGTGGGGATTCGAACCCGGGTCTTCGGCGTGACGAGCCAACGCTTTAACCACTAGACTACCCCACCGCCCCCGCACAGCAATAAATACTTGTAAATACTTGAACTTTCACTTGTGGAAGTAGAGATGTTTTCACACCGGAAAACGAAAGAGAAAAACAACTACAGTAGAACGCTGAAGGCATTAGTCATTAGCTCTCTACCCCTATAGCTAAGGGGCAAAGGGGGTAGCCTTGTGGTTAAAGCGTTCGCTTGTCACGCCTAAGATCCGGGTTCGATTATCCACATTGATACAATGTGAAGCTCATTTCTGGTGTCACGCAGTCAAATTGCTGGAACATTGCTAAAAGCGGCGTAAAACTAAAATCAACACTCACCTAAGCCATAGGTGTACAGTAACCCTTTCAAGGTCAATCCCACGAAGTCGGTCGGGTATTAACGGTAGCCAAAGTGTGTTTGGTCGGATAAAGTCTATTCCGATGAATGGGATACCGCGTAAGACCTATATTGCAGTCGTTGATCACGGACCATCAATTCAAACAGATTCGACTCGTACTGTTGAGAGTACACTTATCAAACTGACTAATTTGAGTGTGCGAATTTAGGGACCTGATCATACATTATGGTTAGGGAGTGGGGTGGGGTGGGGTGGAATTGACGATGATTTTTATGGAGAAGAATGCACAACCTGAATGGGTATTGCTGCTGGTAGATGTGCACTATAAGCCGTATTTTCCATTCCGATAATTCATCTACCGAGTAACCGTGACCCGTGATAACATATACTAACACAAAGTCTCTTAATGTATGAACTTTTGATAGCAACAAATAATTTCAGTTTAATTGAAATGGAGCCCATGTGAAGGGATATTCAGAACCTGAAGGAATCAAGACTAGCTTCTTTTAGGGCTTTCGCATTGCAGCGAGTGGGTGAGTGAGTTCAATTTAAGTCACGTCAGCAGTATTTCACCCATATTGTGATTTTATCAAGTTATACAGTTACACGGAACTTGTAAACAATACATTTCAAACTAAAACCTGTCAAATTGACTACACGATCACAGATATAGGTCTATCTCCAACTCCAGTTCGACAACAGGATATGAAAAAACGAGATCCGTGATTGTGGCCTGATTTACGGGGAAACACGAGGAATTGTACTATGTCATACAGACCCTGAAACAAATATATCCAAGAAAGCCCATGCAAGTCTAGAATATGTGGCAAGTCTAGAAAATGAAGAAACTCTTAGGGCTCTTTTTCATTTTAATTGTTTTAATGATGGGTGATATATTGAACAAGTGGAATTGTTTTGTGGGAGTGTTGAAGGCGGCCATTGATGTTTATATATTGTCAAAAAATAATCCAGTCCCCAAAACCCAACTCCGTAAATGTGACATGCAATTCCATGAGTAAATACTACAAAGCGTAATTAAAATTTCAAATAAATTGATTGACTCACAGAGTGAGTATGGTTTTACGCCGCTTTTAGCAATATTGCTGGTCTAGCAATATCATGGCGGGGGGACACCAGAAATGGGCTTCACACATTGTACCAATGTGTGGATTGACTCGCAGAGTTTTTTATTTATATATACATATATACTGAACATATAGTGGCCGGATTTCCGTGACCTAGTTGATGGCATGGCGGGGCACCTGATGACGAGGGTAGTTGTTCATCATATCAATCACTGGTCCGGACTCGATTACCTAGAAATCGCCACCGCCACCACCATCATCATCATCAAGGGGTGGTGGGGAGGCCTAGTGGTTAAAGTGTTGGCTCGTCACGCCGATCGAGACCCAGGTTCGAATCCCCACATTGGTAGAATGTGTGAAGCCAATTTCTGGTGTCCCCTGCCGTGATATTGCTGGAACATTGCTAAAAGCGGCGTGAAATCAAACTCAGTCAGTCAGTCATCATCAACAACCAAATACACAGTTAATACTAATATAATACAAGATGTTTTCTTTTTGAGCCCGCGAAGGACTACTTAGGAGATAAACCTACTGTGTGTGGGAAAATCAGAGGTATATAACGGAATTATAATAGCTCTAAATTGTTCATTTAAAACCTCACGCTACGCGTTCGGTTTTAAATTAAATTTAGAGCTATTATAATTCCGTTATATACCTCTGATTTTCCCACACAGTAGGTTTATCTCCATTCTACCATGACAATTTTATGAACAATTTCAGGTGGAGCTCTTTCTTTGGTAACGAGTCAATACGTGAAGCGGCCTCGCATTCAATCTCAAGTGGTATCGCCCGAAACGGGGTGTTTGGTGGCAAACCGTCAATGACTAACAAACTACAGATTCAGTAATAACAAATCACGTTTTGTTTTTCAATGCATCAATCACCAATCATTAACTGATAAGTTGGAAAACATATATCAAATAAGTTTAAAAAGCTTGGTTCACATTTGAAAATTCCACCGTAGACCCTTTCCCCACCAGAAAAGTGGTAGCAACCTCATGGCCTTGACCTTTTCTCGAAGTCATTGTTTACATTTACGTGCAAATTTGGAAAGATGCGACAGGAGAGCCTCTGACAGTTTGTGCAAGGTTAACCTGATTGTATGACTGAGATAGTCTTTGATATCTAATTACTGGTACTGGTACAAAATTTAAGAGTAGGGGCGCTTTTGCTGTAACGAGAAGTCCGTGTTGTACCGAATTTAGAGCTGTTGAATTTTGCGCCCTGTCAACTTGACGATTTCACGCACCTCTACGTCTGCGTGCGACAGCTGTGGTGACTCTTACACACTCATGTGTGTACTTTGTGCTCAAATTCGATTCTACGGATATTATTTTCTACATTTTGGAAAGTGTTTTGTGACCTAGTGGCTTCAAAGTGTAGTGAATTCAAATTGAATCGGATTCGCTGGCATGTTCGCGAGTCTGTTGACAAAGAGCCAGATTTGTGGTGATATTTCCGAAAGGATGGATCAGGACACGAGGGTGTGCCTCTGGCATAAACACGGTAAGGTAATTAATTATACTTTAATAGACTACATTAGATCAAGCAGTGTAATGGATAAGAGGGATCATGACTAAGCTAAATAACTTTTTCAACGATATTATACATTTAGAAAAAAAATATGTTGGGCTAAACAGAACGGTTTGCAGATTCTGTAGATCTAATTGTGTTTTACAACCGCTAAATTTGAAACAGTACAAATTTCAAAATATCATTTTGTTTGATTGATAACCCAACTGTTTATTTATGTGGACGGAAGGCATTAAAATTTTTTCGGCGTTGGATGTTAATGCATCCTCTGTTACCGGATCAAGATCAGTGGCGATATCGTTGACGAAAGCTGATAATAAATTTAACACGGAAATTTTGTAGCAGTCTATTGCTGGATCTATTCTGACATAACATAGAATCACCGTAAACAAATTTGTTTTTGCTGAATTTTTATTCGGAAAGCAGACGATGTTTTGATTTTGTTCGACTGAATATTTGTTTCCATGCTTTCGAAGTACTTTTGTATGTATAAACACCTATTGCTGTGATTTACGCAAGTAGTGAGTCGAGCCCGTCATCGCTAAATCCATCTTTAAAGACATATGTGTAATTTCCGACAGTAAAATCGCCGTAATTTATCGATGCATCGGTAGGTTGTTTGGTGTCCGCCATGTTAGTGGGCAGACAAAAATAGTGCATTACCGTAAACCATGTATGATTGCGCACGGAAAACAGAGACCTGTATAACGTGATTATATACCTCTGAATGACTTTAATTAACCAATCACAATCCAGTGTTTACTGAAGTCATGGTAGAATATGTGATACCTGTCCACTTCCAGGGATGGCGTTGGGCAATTCTGTAGCCAAAAAATACGTTGTTCTTTTAACAAGTTGAAATTGTGAAATTTAAGCATAATTCATTATTACAGGAAAGGAAGAAAAAATATTTTCGCAAATCAGGTTTCGTTTTCATGTGATTTTTATATCTGATGAAATGAAATTAATGAAAACATTATAACACGGGACTAATCATTGAATATATGTGGTATTAAAGCACGAATAAGGCAAAGACAGATCTGCAAATGACGGATGCAAAGAAATATATTTTATTCATTTTAGTTCTAATTTATGTTTTATTTCAATATTGTGAACACAAACATCTTCGTGCTTAATTTGAAACCAAATTAACAGCTATCTCCACCAAGAAATATGCAAATTTAGCATCTCGATGCAGAATGCGGAAGTGCCTTGCTAGCTGAACACAGCGCCCCCTAGTGTTGAACAGTGACAGACGGTCGCACCTGAAGCAGTGGTGGACGGAGAGTCAGTGACTCACAATGACGCCGGTATGATCGGTTTGGAAGACAGAATTTTCTAAAATATCTTGGATATTACAAAGTTCCAAAAAGGTAAAATAACATATTTAATTTTCACGTTTGTTTTCTCGTTTTCCTGAGCAGGGGAGATTTATTTTCGAAGACACATTGGGATTAGAATACTGTCGCTTTCCAAATGTGAAACTAGTAGTTGTACGACTACTTGTGTGTATCCGGGTTGGCGACAGTCTGTCGCCACCGATAAGGAAATGAATCAGTCTGAGGTTATGCGTTTTCTTGTGCAGAGGCCAAATCTAACTGGGTGTGCTGATTTTGGGGATTGGCGTCTTGTAATGTCAACTGTATCTAAATGACTAGCTGATATACAATAACACAGTACTAACTTGCCCTACTTATGTTATTTTTAAGGGCTTTGTTGCATATTGGATAATGAAATAATTGGAAAAGAAATGTAACAGGTAAATTAATATCAATAAGTAGTATAACCCTAATATGAAAAAAACACATAAAATAAACAAAAGAAAACAAGCAAACAATGGTATAATTCGTGGTGTATATCAACTTCTCATCTAAATATTGTGAAAGTGTTATGTGGTATAAATGTATTATGTCATATCTATTTGATAATGTATCAGATACAAAGAAAACAAGCAAACAATGGTATACTTCGTGGTGTATATCAACTTCTCATCTAAATATTGTGAAAACGTGTGATAAATGTATTTATGTCAATGTTGTCATATCTATTTAATAATGCATCATATTCATTTCACCACTGTATTTTCTTAAACAGAGGGTTGGAAAATTGTTTTGACATAGATGAAAAGTGTTGTAGTTTGTATAAATGTATTTGTTTACATTGTATATGGCATGTATGAACACTTAATTCAGCATTTTGCAAGTTAAGACAACATAAATTGTTTAATAACAACATATCAGAGTTGATTATAATGCACTTTCAAGTCACTTATGAAATGCTCTAAGAGCTTTAAACACTACATGTCTATTTGAACAGGCACATATACATGTTTTCCAATACACGTTTCAGACCATTTGCTTTGTGGTGAAGGTAATATTTATAACCAGTAAAATGTTTAGTTTTTGATGTGGTTTTAAATATCAACTTACAAATTGTAATGGTCGAAGATTTACTCAGATTTATGTTCTTTTGACATAACTAGTTTTGAAAAATTGGTTTCCTGAAAATGTCAGAGCTTTTCTTTTAAGTACATACATACATACATACAAATACTTGTATAGCGCCAATATCCGTAAACCGCTCAAAGGCGCTTTGGCTCTAAGATGGTCTAGATATCACATAGAGTTCAAGTGCTTCAGCAAAGAGACACGTCTTTAGCTTTGATTTAAAAAACAGCTAAATCTGGTTGTGTTCTGAGGTGAGATGGAAGATTGTTCCAGAGATGAGGGAAAGTCGTCTCGAGTGACCTGTCACCATATGTTTTTGTCCTGGTAATGACTTAGTTCTCTCATTTTTTATGAAAGGGACACAATATTGCCAGCATGTTGGACGAGACTCTGGATGATCTGATGATGTTAAAAATTCAAGCAATCTATCAGGAAAATATCTCAAACTTTATCATAGGTATGTAAACTAACTACCCTCAATATGTATTGTATGGTACCAGATACTCAATAATAGTTAAAGGACCTTCTAGGGCAGTGGGGTAGCCTAGTGGTTAAAGTGTTCGTTCATCATGCCAAAGACCTGAGTTGGATTCCCCACCACATGGGTACAAATGTGTGAAGCCCATTTCTGGTGTCCCCAGCCGGGATATTGTTGGAATATTGCTAAAAGTGGCGTAAAACCAAACTCACTCACTCTTTCACTCACTCAAAGACCTCCTTTCTTTCATAGAAATGTAGATAATTTGTCAGGTGTTCCCGTAAGTACTAGTATATATAAAACATAACCTGGGTTATTTAATTATGTTTGTGTCAGTTAGTGTCAGTTTGTGTCAGTTAGTTGCAGAAAAAGACAACATTTTTTTGTGTAATTTGTGACGAATACCCCAAACAATGTGTATCTCTGCCGAACTTGTCCATTGATTATTGAGTACTGAGTACTGATAAGCACAAGTTGTAGGAGACCAAAGGAACAAGGGTTTGGAATGAGCAGGTGCCCCTGGCAGTGTGTTTCCCAGTGAATGGACAGGTTAAACCAGTTCAGCTGGGTAATGGGCTAACAAGGGGAAACTGTTCCAGTGAAGTGACTGTGTGGTGATGGATGGATAGAGAGAGTTAACAGACCATTGCAGTAGCTTTCCCTCCAGATAATACTGTATACAGGATGATAGTGTATGTCCAAACCTTTTGTGTCTGCTAGATCAAACTTGGATTTTGACCTCATTTTCATCAGACTTGTCTTAGACTCAAGTAGTATCTTTCTTCACAAAGGGATATTTACTGAAATTGTGTGTCAGTTTTGTGTCAGATTGTGGATATTGAGATGAATTCTTAGCTTTCTTCATATAAATTGTACAGTTGTTGCAAAGTTGGTCTCTATCAGTTATTCAATTTATAGTGAGAGAGTTCAGATTGATCATCACATCAGCAATATTTCAGCCGTATCGTGATGAGAGAAAGCCATACATCAATGACAGGTATATATCAACAGCATAAAATTCTGTTGTATTAAATTCAATTTGTAAACTCTGGTAGTTTTCACACTGATTAAATTTGACATGTCGGAGTCCACTGTTAGTCTCACTGTTATTTCCCCAAAAAATTGTCATTATTGTTTAATAGAAATAACCATAGAAACAATTTTTTGTATAAATAACTGTATGTGTTTTTAATTAAAAGTATTAACTAAATTTTGTTTAATAGACTCAATTTATTGTCGATTAGTACATGCATGTTGATGACCTCTTTCATCAATGGCTGCACTATTGCTGAGAGACTGAGTCACCATGTTCACTCACTTTCAAGTCAATACTTTGGTGATTTATAACAAAAGGCAAAAAACATGAATGTACAAACTCCAACAACTCAAAGTGTGTGTCATGTCTGCGGGGGAACAACCTGAATTGCTTCTTTCTTATGTATATTTTAACAACCATTTCCCCATCACAGTCTTCCCTATTTTGGGCATGAATACTGCACCCCAACATTTTTAGGTATGAAAAATTCACATCCTTGTCTCAACTTCATTAAATATGTCATGTTATTTACATGATTGAGAGTGCATTTACATGTTGACATTTGTTAACCAGATCTTGTTCTTATTTCCTTTTCTATAAACATTTGAAATACAATATGAGTTAAATGTCGTCCTTGAAGTGCACTGAGAATATAGTGTAGCAATGGCTACTAATCACCTATGCTGTGGATCAGGTGTATCAACTTGATGACTTGGTTGATTGACATCCATGTCTTAGCTTCCCTTTTGTGTGGACTGATATGACCAATTAATTGCAATATCTTGTCACTGATTATTTATGTCTGTGTAGTAGCGATAAAGTTTCTAAGTCAAAGGTTGGACGCCTTGCCCACATGACCTAATAGCTGAATCTACATCCTGCTACACTGACAGAATAAGGATGTCTTTTGTGGATGAGTGAGTGAGTGAGTTTAGTTTGCGCCACACTCAGCAATATTCCAGCTATATGGCGGCGGACTGTAAATAATCGAGTCTGGACCAGACAATCCAATGATCAGCATCATGAGCATGGATCTGCACAATGGGGAACTGATGACATGTCAACCAAGTCAGCGAGCCTGACCACCCGATCCCTTTAGTCGCCTCTTACGACAAGCATGGGTTACTGAAGGTTCTTTCTAACCCGGACCTTCACGGGTTCTTTTGTGGATGACTCCATGCCCTGCTACATGTGTATAAACAGATTTATAAATGTTGATTCAATTGATAGTGTATATATTTTACACTAATATATGTATGAGAATCGTTTTTTAATATCTGCGAACAAAATTTTATCCGACCCGTCTCACGATTTACATTCTTGTTTTAAATTTTTACCATCTGGACGTAGATTCTTCGTACCTAAAGTTCGCACAAAAAGGTCCCAAACATCTTTTATACCTGTTAGCATTAGACTTTTAAATGAATGTTAGACCCAGCCAAAATTTTAAATGCACTGACTACTAGTCTCTTACAGTATACACTGGTTATCCTTCTCATCCTGTTTATCTGTGTGTTTAAGGTGATCGTTGTCCTTTGCTTAATTTGTTTTAACCATGCTGTATGCCTCACTGTTGTAAAAGGAATTCCTTTGTCGGGCAATAAAGTATTATTATTATTACAGTATTAACATATTAATGCGCTAATAATCAAGGATGCTTTGATAGTATATTTTAGAAAAGGCCAGTTAGATTTAATTATATTTTTTTCATAATCAGCATATTTTCTAATATTAAGATCTTATAGGTGTGCATATATAGTTTCCTTACACATTAAATTCAGCCAGAGGGAAGATTTTAATCAGATTTACACTTTCCAGTAGTTATGGATAAAATTTATAGACAAAGTTGAAGATTATCATTACCAACTCCGAAAGAATGTGCCTATAATTTCAAAATAATTTAAAACACATATCAGTTGAAGTGTTCCCTATCGACACCTGTGTTTCAGCAGGTGCAGTTATCTCCCCTTGCATTCCATGTGCTTTATCCATATTATCACATTCCATATGCTTTATCCATATTATCAAAATTACATTCTCAGCCGATATCATGCAGTGGTGCATGTACCGGTAACAACCCCAATAAGACTACAGTCTCAGTTGTGATTAGTTGGCGAGACAGTAAGATAAGAAAATAATAACTTTCCCCTCGAAAGTTCCAAGTTAGTTTTTGTTATAAAATTCAAGGTCTTTTGCGAAGTTGTCTGAAATGAGCAGAGTGTGTGGACGTTGGTTCGAGCACATTTTGGTGCTGGTAATTTCAGTTGATCTGAACGGCAGTTCGGTGGATGGATGGATGTTGAAAATGTGTTGCCATGTTCATATATTGTTGACATGTCTTTGAAGTGTGTCATGGAATCTTCAGCGCTGAAGGTAGGATTTTTCATTTGGGTTTTGTTTGGGTTTAACATAAAGGTTTAATAATCTGTATAGGGTACAGATGAGGTTGTCAGTAGGGCTGGCTATCAATATGGTAGCCTAGTGGTTGAAGTGCATGCTCATTATGCCAAAGGCCTGAGTTCAGTTCTGTATTTAGGGGCAGAGAGTGAAGCCTATTTCTGATGTCCACTCCCTGGGGATCATACTACTATATATATCTTCAGTCTCAGCTAAACCCTTTTGATTCTTGTCACTTGACAGATTTGCAGTGTATTTTAGTGTCAATACACTTGTGTTAACTTACTGATAATAAGGTTATTTGACCAATGATAAGTTTATTATGTAGCTCCAAGTGGCAAAGTAAAGATCCGGGTTGGAATTGGTCTTCAACAATTCCTTCTTGTTGTAAGAGGCAACTTACAGGATCGGATGGTCAGGCATGCTGACTTGGTTGACACATGTTATCGTATCTGAACTGCATAGATCGCTACTCATGCTGTTGATCACTGGATTGTGTGGTCCAGACTTGATTATTTAGAGACCATCATCATATAGCTGGAATATTGCTGTGTACAGGGTTAAACAACAAACAGACAAAACAGACTGTTTTTCAACAATGACCAGCTGATAACATGGACCTGTTACTGACCATGCAAATAAGGTGGTTTCATTGGTTGGTTGAGGGACCTAAGACACAATGGTTTCCATGTCTGTCTGTTTTTAACAATGTTTCATTTCACTCAAACTCAACGAATATTGAATCAGTTGCTTCACTGAATGTTCCAACATGTCGTTTAAAGTGCCCATTAAGCATACAAAAAGTTGCATTTACCTTAGAGTATAAATGACCTCACCACATTTCAGTTTATATATGACTATCAAATGTTAGGGTGTTCCCTTATTTTTTGTTTGTAGTATATTTTGTTAATGTTGTCAAATAACAGGGGCTGTGGGGTAGCCTAATGGTTAAAGTGTTGGCTCGTCACGCCGAACACCCGGTTTGAATCCCCTCATGGGTACAATGTGTGAAGCCCATTTCTGGTGTCCCCTGCCGTGATGTTGCTGGAATATTGCTAAAAGTGGCGTAAAACCAAACTCAGTCAGTCAGTCAGTCAGTCAAATAACATGTATATTTCATCGAGTGGTCTGACAAAGTTGATATGTTCACGAGTAGCGCAGCCACGAGTGAAGACATCAACTTTGTCAAACCATGAGATAAAACATTCATGTTATTTGACAACATTAACAAAATATTCTATTTATTATATTTTTATTTTATATTATTTTTTTGTTTATAAATGATCAAGACATCGATTTCGTAGTTCGCATTTCGAAGTTCCAGGCAAAAGTGATATTCTACTCAGTGAAAACACCATTTTTATTTTCACCAATATTTACAGTATTTCACCCTTAAAAATATAATAAAAGAAGTTATTCGGCTTGTCCTGGAATAACACGAGTTGGTCACGAATGGTTTAGTGTAACCAAGCGCTCGCGTCCGTTCAGGGCCGATGCGAGCGCTCACGGGAGGCAATAGCGCGGGCGCTCGCGGTTCTGAAAATACCTCAGGTGTCCCCTGGCTTGATATTGCTGGAATACTGCTTAAAGCAGCATAAAACTAAATATCTTTCATGTTCAGCTGAAGCACATTGATCAGCTTGTTGTCAAGGTACCAGTATCCAAAATGGTGTTAATGTTGATCTTGTTTATGGCCTACTTATTTGGAATAAGTTCTGTGCAATACATTCTGTCCAATACAAAACAGTCTGAGAAAGAAGCTTCAATTCTAAAATATTCTTTTGTGTACAGAACCCAGCATATACAGACATCAGGGCCAGTTCTGGTAGACTTTAGGCTGTTATGGTGTCAGCACATTACCTTAGGAGTACCTGCACATGGCCTCAGTGTGTGGTGTAGAATCTCTTTACACCTTTCCCAGCCAGTCAGGAGGCCTTTGTCAGTGTCTGCTTGCAGGACAGGTATTTTTATACTCAACCTGAATTTGAAACTTCTTCGCCCACAAGCAGGTATAAGGTTCCTTTGGAATTGCTTGTTGTGATATAACCGAACGTATTGCCCTACTGTCCAGTAGCCAGAGGCTGGTAAACAATTACAAGTATTATGTAATAACGTTGTTGGACATTGTGCCTGTATTTATTTCATCTTGACATGTCAAGTAGCAACAGGCTGGTAAGTACTTATGTAAAGTATCTAATTATGTTCAGGATATCATGCCTGTTTTAATTTCAACCTGACCTTGTCCAGGTGTATCTATCCTGTTCCTATTACATTGGGGGTCATGGGGTAGCCTAGTGGTTAAAGTGTTTGCTCATCATGCCGAAGACCCGGGTTCGATTCCCAACATGGGTACAATGTGTGAAGCACATTTTTTTGTGTCCCCCGACATGATATTGCTGGAATATTGCTAAAAGTGGCGTAAAACCAAACTCACTCACTTCTACATTGACAGGTAATTGATGAAGTGGTTATTTTGGAAAATAAATCCTTGATATTAAATCTGTATTACCTGATTAAAAGTTTAACAATTTTTTTTAACCATTACTGTAGTGTTTGTTTCTGGTATATGAGCGGGCAATCTGATTCAGTTATCAAGAATTTGGGAGTGGGTTATCTCTGTCATCAAAAGTAGCCAGCATTTAAGATGTATCCAGCAAAGGAGAAAGTAAAATACCTGGGCTAGCTGTCTTTGTTGACACTTGCACTTGTGCCAAAATACCCAGTTGGCAACGTGGTTAGCGTTTGAGAACTGTATCACTTTGAGCTTTCCTCCCACTTCAATCTTTAAGTTGTTGTTAGGAAGACATCTTTTCACTAATCTTCACTGATTACTATTGTTTAACTTGTGTTTCAGCATCTTAATTAGTATTGTACATAATTTTTTATATTAAACTTCCTTGTGGCCAGGAATGCAGTAGTGAATTAGAAGGAAGATTAGTGAAGTGAGTATGCCATAATGAATGATTTTTCTATTGTCATTCGGGTGGAATTTATATATTTGTCTTATGATCTATCTATCTTTTTGGCTATTGTCACGCCCAACCCCCAACTCAGTGTGCAGCACCCCAAAATTAATTGATGAGCTTTGACAAAGTTAAACAACCTCTGAGTTAAATAAATAATGGACAGAGAACACTTTTGTATGTAGAAAGTGGTATTTGGTTTACGTTCCTACTCATTCTGTACATGGTGACTTATTCCCTATTAATTATATTGATGAACGCATTAAACAATATTCCAGTCCTGATACAGAAATTCATGAAATTCTTAGAAATGTTTTGTGACTATATTCATTTGATGATGATAATAAGATATGTGACCAAGTTAATGAAAAGAATTTTGTTTGATGTATTTGCAAAAGCCATTGTTTTTGTATTACTGAGCATTGGGTTTATATATGAAAATGGGTCACATGTGATATTAGATTTATAACATAGGATACTTATACCATAGCAGAAAAACAATCAACCATGGTCACAGTATCGCTAAGTACAGGCATATCAAGTTGTTTTGCTCTTGGTGTTCTGTGGGAGGTCATATTGATTAGGCAGACAGTCAACAGAAGCCCGCATCTTGCAGGTTGGTGCTACAACTAGTTGTCATCCTGCTAGCATCTGTTCCTTACAAACAACCAGGGCATGAGTGTCAGCAAGATGTTGACAGTGTATACAGATTATACGACTAATGCTTATTTACCACAAAACACTGTGCTTGCTTAGGATACCCTAAGCATGAGGAAAGGTAAGATCGCTTGAGCGGAAAATGAGGGAAAACTCAAATTCGGACTTGTTTTACAGGCGTCTGGCTATTGTTGGATTGACAGATGGCCACATTACTTTGATCAGGCACTGCGTGACATTTCTATATATATCTCATAGATTCGTGCATCCTTAAAGTCATGGTCACTGAGCCGTGACGAGAAAACGTAACGCTGTCGAACAATGGCAGAGATATTTGTATTGTCTGGTGTAACGTTAGCTCAGTTGGGAATGAATCACGAACTGTCGTGGTCTTAGGCAGGTGTGATGCATCAATAATGTGAGCTCTTTATTCTATCTTGTTTTGCAATCTGATAGCCATTGTAAATATCATGTTTTCTATTGCTTGTGATTATCAAATACTGTCGTCATTGTGGGTAAGGTTGACTTTCCTTATGACTAATTATATCTTGCTTATCATTACGAGCGTGATGCTATTTGTTTACATTACTGTCCTTGAGGATGAA